GTTGGGTGTTGTCGTGGGCGTGCGTCGATGTATCACTCATTCTAAGTTACATACATGAACTCCTAATCAGTCATTAACACATAACAATCAAAGTTATACACTTATTACTTTCCTGAGGCTGATGAATCGCAAGAGATGTGGTGCAGCTTTTTGCAAACCTTTTGTTTATGATCCAAAAATTGGTTTTAAAATCATATGCTTCGATACCAAAATGTAGCACCCCAACTGCCATAACCTAAATACTCATATTAGCGAACTTGTAAGTTGGTACTAAATTGGTATTCAAACATTATCTAACATGCCCTTAAACAATTCTAAGCTAATTCATGCTTCTCAAACCATAAACAACATAAACAAAGGATATTTCACGTAAGGGTTCAAATAGTTCAAGCGTAAAGATTCTACAAACGTAAGATTCAAACCTATTACTATAACCATATGTTAGATGTCCACGTACTCACATTGAATTCGACGTTACGAGTTACGAGATAATACCAACGATGAGGAAATCACACGACGACAAACTTTCTTTCTTCTTCTGATCTTCCTTCTTTTCTTCTTTCTTTCCCTCTTCCCTGATGCGCCGCCACTGTTCTACTCTGCTGCTTCCGTTCTTGGGTTGAGAGAAAAAAACGAGAGACGTTGAAGTAGTTTATGTAAATGTGAGATATGGCGTAAGGGGATTTTAGCGTGCTTGGAGTATATTTATAGGTTTGGGGGTTTTGGGCTCCATATTAATATCGTACCTAGCCTAAAACACACTTCCCAGCCCACGGGCTCCAAATCTGATTGCACCGTTGGATTGGTTCCGTTGAGTCATACACAATGGTATAAACCTTATTATCAAACGAAGAATACTTCATAATTTTCACCGAGTCCGTCTCAGTAATTAATTAATAATTTTTAACTAAATAATTCTGATAGACCAGGTTTCGGGGCATTATATTATTACAATTATTAGTATCACTATTATTATTATTATAGTTATTATTATTATTACTATTATTAGTATTATTACTCTTATTATTATTACTATTATTATTAATATTATTATTATTATAACTATTAATAATTTAAGTCTTATGATTATTATAAATCTTAATATTATCAATATTATTACTATGATTATTACTCCCTTCGTCTGGTATTAATCTACCTATTTTGGCTTTTTTCCATTGTTATGGAGAGTTGACAATGGGATGAAAATGTCCAAATTGCCCTTTTCTTTAGCCACTATTACCACTGCCCTCACCAACCTTCTGCTGCTTCCACAATCTCTGTCCAATCTCCCCACCGCAGCCAGCCCCTCTTTGGTCTCCACCACCACCGCCCGATAGCCCCACCACTGCCTTAGTCCCCACCAGAAATATGGTCCGCCCCAATTAGACATACAAAAACTGAATACAACTCACCATCACCGCAACTCATACCATTGCATCAGTCACTACCATCACTAGTCCTACCCCAATAGCTGCCACCATTGCCATATCAAGAACAAATCTATCCAAAGTTGGAAAATCTACATGACAATTAAACAGGAGACGGGAGAAAGGGCTAGACGAGGACGAGCGGATCTGGAGAAAGAATATGAAGGAAGGAAGGAGACA